CACTACTCTTTGTGTGCGATTGGTTAGAAAGTTGAAGATCCATCTGCCTACTTTGCCGGTTATCCCTTTAGCACGCATTTTGTGTGCTATTACACCATGGTCGCACTTGTCAAAGGCTTTTGCAAAGTCTGTGTATACTACAATTTATACTATAATTTAAAGAGACAAAAAAACGGCCAGAACATGCCTGGCAACGAGGTGAAGAAGCATAACCAGAAAACGTTGAAATCTGCACGAGTATCACTGGTAGTGGGAGTACAGGTTGGGGTATAAGAGGGCAACGAAGCTAGCAACCACAATATAAATATTATAGAGATTTGTTATCTACAAGTGGTTCTGGGGTTTATCTTCCCCACGGCCTGGTCTCAGACCAGGTCTCCTAGATGGTCTCAGACCAAGTCTCCTAGATGGTCTTAGACCAGGTCTCCTAAATGGTCTCAGACCAGGTCTCCTAGATGGTCTCAGACCAGGTCTCCTAGATTGTCTCAGACCAGGTCTCCTAGATGGTCTCAGACCAGGTCTCCTAGATGAGAAAGGTAATATTACAGGATTAAGAAGCACACAGGAGTGTAAAGGTAGGTACATACTGGATGTAAGAAATCTGTAAGATTTATGTCATCGTACGTCTTCATGAGACAAGAAAACATCAGTGATCTTGCCAGAGTGCAAAAAAAAAAAAAACTATTATTAGTAAAGTAACGCACTACTGTTATGTCCATGTTAAAAAGAAGTGTGGTTAAGGTGTGTAGATTAACGTCTTACCTAAATGATACGTGAAGGACGCCAACTACAGGCGTCCCTCAGGTATCCTTGCTAAGACAATCTATAAACTAAGTTAGGTTTAGAATCACCTCGTAGGAGTACATAACTAGCTTGGTGTCCGGACATTATAACCTCCTCGGACAAGTACCTAAAAAGGCTGGTGTCCGGACATTACGACCTACTCGGACGAGTACCTAAAAAGCCTGGTGTCCGGACATTACAACCTACTCGGACAAGTACGTAACTAGCTTGGTGCCCAGACATAATTCATGGAATAAAAACTTTCCGAGGTAGAGGCGGAAATCTCACATTCTAACACCAGTTCTCCTTTCTTGCTGGGTCACACACAACAATATAGTACACCAGTATTGGCTGTCGTGGTAAATCTGTTAAGGATCAGAGAGATCATCGCCCCCGCGGCCCGTCTCATACCAGAACTCCTACATCGGAAAGGAAATATTACAATAACAGTAAGTAAAACGAAACATTTATCACATGATAATGGTCGACGGAAGCAACGAAACGTTCTAAAATCTTCTCTCCAAATTTTAGGATATTTGTGAATTGTCCTAGGCACAGTATAAGGAGGTTCATTAACTTAGGAACTACAGGTCAGTGTATACCAAATATAAGCAGAAGTTGTAAGATTTACCTCTCATTTTACATGTTCATGATATAGAGAAGATCTGTAATCCTGTCAGTGTGCAACATATTGTAAAAACGCTTGTGTATTTAATTTAATTAAAGACTTAAAAAACATACATGTTTCAGTTCACCCTTCTGAAGACATCAACAAAAAAACGGTTTCACAGGACTAACTCGCCTAAAGTCCGCCATTGGATAATACAGTGCTTTCTTTCCCTGCCGCCTAATGCACCTTCACACAAGATCGATAATGTGTGTGGCATCTCATAAATGCACTAGAGCCAGGCAAGATGGCGGAGATATTGAGCTGTGACTAATCTCGTGTACAGAGAATTGATTTCAGCAACGAAGTTGAGATGCACCCACACAGTGTGCAGTTACGCTATAACAAAACGTTTACAATGACACGTCCTAAGTGATTGCATTTTGTGTCTTTTACACTACTGCTTAAGATTATATACCTTTGTATTTACCTATCTCTGCTTGCAAGGGTCAAATCACTGCCCCCTCGACACTACCTTTATTAACTTCTATCGTCTGGCTCTAATGATTTCTCTCCTCCAGAAACAAAAGCTATTTATATTCCATCGCACAGGATGGGTTTCCTTGTCATATTGCATCGCACAAGATGGGTGTCATTGTCATATGCCATCGCACAGGATGGGTGTCCTTGTCATATTGCATCGCACAAAATGGTTGTCCTTGTCATATGCCATTGCACAGGATGGGTGTCCTTGTCACATTACATCGCACAGGATGGGTGTTCTTATCATATGCCATCGCACAGGATGGGTGTCCTTGTCACATTACATCGCACAGGATGGGTGTCTTTGTCATATGCCATCGCACAGGATGGGTGTCCTTGTCACTTTAAACATCGCACAGGATGGGTGTCCTTGTCATATGCCATCGCACAGGATGGGTGTCCTTGTCACATTACATCGCACAAGATGGGTGTCCTTGTCATATGCCATTGCACAGGATGGGTGTCCTTGTCACATTACATCGCACAGATGGGTGTCCTTGTCATATGCCATCGCACAAGATGGGTGTCCTTGTCACATTACATCGCACAGGAGGGGGTGTCCTTGTCATATGCCATCGCACAGGATGGGTGTCCTTGTCACATTACATCGCACAGGATGGGTGTCCTTGTCATATGCCATCGCACAAGATGGGTGTCCTTGTCACATTACATCGCACAGGATGGGTGTCCTTGTCATATGCCATCGCACAAGATGGGTGTCCTTGTCACATTACATCGCACAGGATGGGTGTCTTTGTCATATGCCATCGCACA